TGACAGGTGCCTGTAGTCCCAGCTACTTGGGAGGCTGAGGCAAGAGAATTGCCTAAGCCCAGGAGTTGGAGGTTGCTGTGAGCTGTGTGATGCCATGCACTCTAGCGAGGGCAATAGACTAAAACTCTGTCTCTACAAAAAGAAAAGAGAAAAAAAAAATAAAAGGTCAGATAAGACCCACAAAGAATCATGACTCCCTGTGGCTTTATACCTGGGCAAGAAATCAGAAGAAGTGTTTTCAGCTAATTTCACCAAAACCTTAAGGCACTGGCTTAGGACACTGGCTTGGAGGTGACCTGTTGCTGCAGAAGAGAAAGCCAATAGGTGAAGAAGCATCTTCAATAGTGGATGCTGTCCTTGGTCATCAGCAACCTCCCTGGGGGCTGAAGTCACATCTTCATGACTATGTCTGTGAACCAGGCTCCTGTTTCCTTCCCCAGCAGCAGAATCTGCCCCTACTCCTGACAGTAATAGGCAGACAACTGCTCCGCTGTGGCACACCAGGTGCTGAAGGATGCTAAGTGAAGCCACAGAGAAGCCTTCCAGGTTGCAGACTGAGTCCTCAGGACTGGCCTCTACACCAGAGCTCACACAGGAGGAATGTGTCGGTGAGTTCCCAGGTGCTCCACTTCGCTTAGCTGCTGCCAAATCCTGTAGAGCCTGGCAGTGTAAGCCGATGAAGAACTGCACAAGGGGTAGGAAGTGTATGGCTCCAGGAAGCTGGCAGAGTGGGAAGGCCCTTCTGCCTCCCTCTCCTGGGTCTCCATCACATGAGCTTTCATCCCTGGCAACCAGACTGAGTCCAGTGAATGCCACATTTTGTGCTTCTCTCAAGGCTGAGAGGGAAAATGGCCCATCATGATAACCTGTGGTCCTGAGGCCTGAAATCCCAGCCACGGTACTGGCAACAAATACAAAAGAAAACAGGTAAATATGGGATGGAGATAAAGTCACAAGTCCCAAACAAATTATGGAGGCTCTCTGCATATCCCACAGACCTCCCAGGCTGAAAGGGATTTCCTTCCTGGGAACTCCTCAAACAAGCTTTCTAGGAGTTTTATGCTTACCTGCCAAACCCTGGTGGTTGCAAAGTGCCAGCAGGAGACTCAGAACAAGTGCTCAAGAGATGGCAAAGGCCTAGGGATGATCCTGGGGTCAAAGGCTGCTTCAGGAGCAGGTTTATCAAGATGGAACCTGCAGAAGACAAGATGACTCTGGAAGGTTCTGACATAGGAGATCTTTTCTATAGCTTCCGAAGGAAAAGGTAAGAGTTTCTTAGGTGCCAGCTATCCTTTAAACCAGTGGTTCTCAACCTTCCTAATGCCACAATGTATTTCCATTGTTGTATTTTTTCTTTTTCTTTTCTTTTTTTTTAAGAGACAAAGTCGGGGCTCGGCGCCTGTGGCTCAAGCGGCTAAGGCGCCAGCCACATACACCTAAGGTGGCGGGTTCAAATCCCCAGCCCGGGCCCGCCAAACAACAATGATGGCTGCAACCAAAAAATGGCCAGGCGTTGTGGCGGGCGCCTGTAGTCCCAGCTACTCGGGAG